CCAAGACCCTTTCCCCCTTCCCAGTCACATGAAATTTTTGTTGACTCCTGTCCTCCTCTTTTCGAATAGCGTGGCTCTTGAAAGCGGTCAGTACTTTCTACTCAGTAGTAGCACTGCGGTTCCTGTTGCTGTTATCCGAACGTGATTGATCTGATCTTTTGGCAATTCTACTTTACCACGAGATGATCACCAATGGAGGAGCGTATTCTATACGGAAGTAGGAGTTCCCTTAGCCTGGTCTCCCTACCACTTCCTCAAAATTATTAAAATCATTTTCTAACTGCTGCTTCCGCTCTAGAATCATAACTCCATAAGCGCATTTTTAATCAGAATACATTACTAAAATAGTGGGGCGGTCAAAAATATAGTACATGTGTCACAGCTTACTGACAGATGCAAAGCTTCTCGCGCAATCCTTTTATCTGGTGGTTAACTCTTGGAAGAGAAGGGCTTAGTTCGCTCAGAGAACATTTGACTCACGAATTGCGAGAGTGATAGCGCTTTGCCACGCAACAAATTCTCAGTTTCAGGTGAATAAGTTCTATAAAACGACACTTCATGCAACAACGATGAGGCTTTTGTTCTAGGCGACGTGAGGTGCCACGTTGTCCAACATCTCTTGACCCACCACAGCTGCAGAAGGACACAAAAACAGCAGTAGTCAAAGGCATGGGTCGAGATCGAGTTGGTGTGCTATTGTGTTCGAAAATTAAACAAGCGATGGGGAACGTGAGTGGAGAGAACAATCAAAAGCACCATAGAAAACGCTGAAATTTCCCTAGTGAAGTCGGCCGTGGTGACGGAGAGACACAGCGCTGCGAGGAGAGGGAAAACGCGAGATAGAGAGTACGTCGTACGCGAGAGGCGCAAACGCCACGTATGCCGCGATTGATAGAGTGGCAGCACCGGCAGCGTACAAGGCAAGGCCTTAGCGCCCTTGCTGCGCACTTTTGAGTCGCGGCAGTGTCGCGCCTCCTGGGCTGAGGACCCCTCCTTATTCATTCTAGGAAGGAATGGCTTCGGCTCTTAGCATCTCATCCCGACCCGTGGCTTCAAGGTAAAGAAGTGGGACTTCGATTATGCGAGTGCTTGGGTGGTACTGTCTACATACACTGCGTCTCCTAATAATCCAGCCACCTACTAAAGTTCAAAATCTTCATTCCATGAAAGTTTCTGGAAAACTGTTCAAGAGAAAAATGTGTCAAATTTGGTCGCAAATTCGAAAATCAACACAAAATTCCAGGTTGGAAATGCCAAAATTTTTTTCTAATTTTTCACGAAAGGATCGCTTTTCCTATGTCTCCAAATGATACAGCCACCCCGTGTTTCTTCGTTGCATTTCATTTTGCTCGATGAAACTGATTGGCAGTCATCAATTTTTCTTTTCTAGGTTATCACGAAAGGAAAGCAGTTGTTGGATTTCGAAAAAGGGCAAATGGTCGCAAAAAAAGAAAGAGTAAGCGCCAGTGGTCACATTGCGCGGAAGTTAGTCGAAGCTACGAAATGATAACAATTTCTTCTTGCATGCCGTAGGAAATAAAGCTGAAAGGGCTCTGAAGCTCCTCTTTGCTTTTTGATCAAGATTAATGCGGAATTATGAAAATAACACCCAATTTCATCAAGCCGTGCTCGGAATTAGAGTCTTCTTTCAACTTAATCTTTTACTGGATAGTGCTTGGTAAGTAGTGAAGAACTTCCAAGTTCGCTCTTGAAGCGGAAAGAAAATGGCAGTGTTTCTGAAAAGAAACCGTGGCGAAAACCGGGACATTTGGGAGGAAAGAGTAGCCAAGCCAACCGGGGTAGGATCCGCTTTTTTGCCTGTTATATTTTACTTCCTATCTGCTTTTCCTTCGAGTTTTTCCTTGCTAGTGGAACCTTCCTTCTTTTCTTCAAGATAGATCCATATGAAGCGAAAAGCGTTAAAAGAATTGCAGAAGGAAAGCAAGACATAACACACCAAAAGTGAATGTTCCTCAGGTTGGCCTAGCTGGCTGCATCATTAGGAGACGCACTGTAGTTCCCCATTACGTGTACGTTTTTAGTTATGCCTTTGAAGGGTGGATCAAGCAGGTTTATCAGTTCATGGACCAGGTTACATCGCCACATGTCACGCCACAATTAGAGCCACAACGCTCAGAAAAAGCACACAAAGAATCTAATAGCGTAGGTAGTCACGGGACAAAAAGGACGACTAGTTGCACTTTTGGCGAAGCAGAAAGTTCAGGACGATGATGAGTGGAAAGGCGCTTCATGCCCACGGCATACATAGCGGCCGAAAGACGAGGACGTGGAGGCTCTCTCGCTTCTGCCATGCAGCCGCAGAGGACAAGATGCCGGATCTATGTACGTCAACAGAATATTCTGGGGTGCTAGGTAGTCGGTATGTCGGATGGGTATTTTGGTGGCCGGATTTCGATATTATTTTTCATCTCAAATAATATGGTTACCCATCGTGGACTTATTCCTTGAAGAGGGAACTCCGGGGTGGGCAAGCAATATTATTTCAGGAAATCGGCGTGTCCACCCGGCTCACATTTTAGACCAAAACGAGTGAGACAATGGAAGGCTTAACTTCAAAGCGGCTTTCCAATCACCACAAATCCTTTCGACCTTATTTGTTCTAGAGTTAAGCGTGTGACGGCCAACCTCGTTTTGTGAAATGCCCCATATAGAGCGCCAAAAACCCCCAATAAACCCATTTAGTGAAAGTCACTCTACCCACGGTGAACAATGAGAGGCCGAGGTAATCATGCGGTGAGGGGAAGCACGTAATGTCAACATGAGCCCTCCTTTTTCTCCAACCCCTAAACGGTATCGATCCAGTAATTGGTGTCGTATATGAGCCCAAGCCGATCAACGTTTGAAAATGTTCAGGGTGTTATACAAGTAGGGTGGGCACGCCGCATTTTTTGAACAGAAATGTATGTAAGTGGGACTGCTGCCCGCTACTATACTGTCACGAGAATCGGGGAATTCGTGAGCCAGGGGGAGTGTAGCCAATCTAGGGGGTGGGGGTGAGGGCAGTCACTGAGACGTAAGCAAACCAGCCCTTTTGGCGCTTCGGCTGGGACCGTGTGCTGAATGTTGGGGAGGGGATGGAGTCTCCGACGGTAGACGGACCACTTCAACTCGGTCCTTGGAACCGACACAATTTGGTGCTTACCTCAGAACTAAGCCTTAAAGAGAGGACGGGTCCGTCCCCTCTCCAAGGCTTAGTCCTGGGGTGAGCAAACCAGCCTTCTTCTGGCGGAGCTGCTGGACCAGCTGCACCACTTGCGTCAGTACTCTCCTATCGTACCAACCGAGTTGAAGTAAACCGTCGACCGCTGGGGTCCCCATCCCCTCCCCAACATTCAGCATACGGTCCCAGCCGAAACGCCAAAGGGCTGGTTTGCTTACCGTCACTGAGACATGCGTGAAAAGCTGGGCGTGCCCAGTCGACTTGAATAGAGCCATGTTCAGGACAAGGGAGTCTCAGTCATGGTGCCTGAGAGCGTATGGTGATGTTTTGGACAATTCCACAAAATGATTTTTCCACAGACAGTATCGCAAATGGAAGGCGCAGATTTTTGCTGCAGCTGAAAGAAGTGAGAAAACTGAAGTGGAAGGCTAACATTCAGGGATCGTATTCAATCCTTCCCCCAGGCTAGAGGAAGAAAGGGTCCCTTTGGCCATTCTGGTTGGAAAAACTAAGAAAATTCAAAGAGATCTTCTCTCCTTCGAGCCCGGAGGAAGGACTGGATATCGTCCAAGTAGAAGACAACTACCCAATAGTTTAGGACACTACATGACTTTAGAAAGATTGTTGTATCGTCCACTCAGGAAGATGATCTCAACGAATCAGAGATCCCGTAAGACAGACTTCAACAGAGCCAGAGTGACACCCAAGACTTCACAACAAGAGTAGCTATGCCGGACAAGCCGACACTCGTGAAAACATCGAACCTTGCGAATGCTTGGAAATCTAACGAGTTTAGGACACCCGGAGTAAGACTTAAACGAACTAGCTTCTGCTGCATAACACTGCATACGCCTCGTTTAGGGCAACTTGTAGTGCCTCTACAGAGCACTTAGCCTACATCATTCTTTTTGAGTACGAAACCGGGAGTGGGGGGGGGGGAGTGTTTGTGGTGCGACTATGAACGGACGCGCGTTTCGGATTCTCAGCTGGCACCTTCAGCTGCTCCAAAAATCACCAAATCCAAAGCAAAGGTCGTATTCATATCATGAGTCTTTGAAAACCACAGTAACGTAGTTTGGGCTCTCTCCCTATACCATACACCCCACTGAAATCTGCTTGCTGCGTCATTTCAGTGACTTGGTACGCAATGTTGAAGTATGAACGAGTGTAGCCACCTTTGAGAGCATTGCTGAGTTGAGCAGACAAAACGCTCTACAGTCGACGCACTTGAAAATTGCGAACTGATTACATAAGCACAGCTTAACAATTGATCGCAAGATAGATCTCATCCGTAGTGCTTCCCCCCCCCCCCATCTGCGCCACACACACTGCTTTAGCTGTATAAACTTAAAGTATGTTAATAAGTCTAGCTACCAACACCAAGCACAAGCGAAGCACGAGAAATGAAGACGATATGACGCCATGACGACTGGTTAGTGACGGTCATGCTAACCAAAGAACAGAGTGATAGTAAACAACACCGAAGCGAAAACCGAGAATGAGTCGCACGAGGCCGAGCGAGCGCGACCTTTCGCCACGAAAGCCGCTGAACAACTGCAAAATACGGGTGCCGATCAATAGAGCGGCGTAAGATCGCCCACGGCCAAAACTCCTCCCTCGTCATTGCCACGACTGGAAAACATACGACCACCCACCCAAACCTTGACTCCTGTTAGACATAATGGACCACCAAGCTATACAACTTTATTTAGCTCTTGCATAAATAAAAACAACGGGAATTTCGAATAACTGCGAAACAGCTCCATCAACAACCTTTTTTATTAGATAACTTCGGTAACAACAAGCCGGAACAATAGATTTACATTTTGTCAAGGTAGTTGTCAAGAGCGGGCACGCCCTCCTTGAGTCCTTTACGCTTCCTTGTCTCCAGAACAACTTGGTTAGGCTTAGTACCGGGCTCCAGTGGGTCTCCTGGTAGAACTTGCCAGTGATCAAACACACATTGAGGGAAAGCTTGACCACCGGTATTCGAACGAAGATCGGCAGTGAAACCTAAACAGAAATTAATAACAAGGACACTTCAAAAACATGATTCCGTTTTCTTACCAAATGATTCGTTGACGGGAAGGTAGGCTTTGACAACAAACATAGGAGTTCCGGTGACCTGTGACTCTTCGAACACGTGTCCTCTTCGACGATTGAGCACACCATAGATACCACCAACGGCAACCTCAGGACATTGAATTTCAACGAGGTAAACGGGTTCCAGAAGTCGTGGTGCAGCAGTGAGTACAGATGCATAAATTACACGACGAGCAGTTGGGATGATTTGGCCACCACCTCTGTGGATAGCGTCAGCGTGAAGTGTTACATCTTGGATGTCAAAACGAATTCCGCGCATGTGTTCGTCAGCCAGAACTCCTTCTCTTGTTGCCCATTGGAATCCAGCAACGACCGAATCCTTGATTTCATTCAAATATTGTACTCCCTTTGTAACGTCGACTAGAATGTTAGGACCAGTTCCGTCAGGGCCAAAGCACCAGATTTTACGTGCTTCAGTGACGTCGTAGTCATATTTCTCAGCGAGAATCTTGGCACGAGCTTTGAACTCATCACGAGCGTTGACAGTTCCATTTTCAATATCATCAGCTAGACCATCGGGCATTGGTTTACAGGTGGCATGCAAACGGTTGTGCTTATTCGGTGACTTCGACAAGCAAACTTGGTTAGACTCTTCTGCAACTGTTTCCCTATATGACACAACAGGGTCCGACTTCTTGATTGGGATACAAGCATGGTCCTCTTCAAGATCCTTCAGGCAAATTTCAAGATGAAGTTCTCCGGCACCGGCAATAATGTGTTCACCAGATTCTTCGAAGATGCACTGCACCATAGGATCGGATTTGGCAAGACGCTTCAATCCTTCAACCTAAAACAAATACGGAGTAAAATTACTCATGAAAATGCTCAAAAAAAGAAAACAAAAATATGGTAGAATTTCCTACCAATTTGGGCAGATCAGCGGGATTTTTCGCTTCAACAGCAACACGGACGACAGGTGAAACGGAGAATTTCATCACTCGCATGTTGTGGGCATCCTTGAAAGTCGTGATAGTTCCTCCCTTGACTAGATATTGATCAACACCAACAAGACCAGCAATGTTTCCGGATGGAATGTCCTCGATGGGCTCAATGTAACGACCCATCATAAGGATGGTTCGTTGAATGGTCTTCTCGTACAGATCGTCCTTCTTTCCTGGGATGTAATTCGGTCCTTGGATCCTGGCTTTCATTCCAGTGGCGACCTTTCCAGAGAACACACGTCCGAAAGCGTAGAATCGTCCCTTGTCGGAAGTCGGTACCATTTTCGATACGTACATCATCAATGGGCCATTGGGGTCACAGTTCTTAATGGCAACAGCTGCTTCGTCGTCATGCGGACCTTCATAAAGCATCTCCATTCTGTACTTTTGAGCAGTTACTGGAGACGGCAAGTGGATACAAATCATTTGCAGCATGGTATCTCCAGCAGGAAGCCATTTCCTCATGAATACCTGAGAAAAGAATGAAGAAAAATAGGGAAAGCTCACGCCAACATGTGAAGTTACTAACCTTCATTAAAGGTTTGCCCTCCAGATCTTTCTCGTCATGAGCTAGCTTGATTCCTAACTTGACAATAAGAGCCTCAACTTGATCTTTCTTGATGTTCATGACGGCATCGAAAACCTGAAATAAATTCGTTATCAGCGGAGAATTCCCAAACTGAAGCTTACACGCTTCCTAACACAATGGAGAAAAAATTCAGGCGTCTCTCGAGAGTCCTTCTTTCCTCTTAATGCCAATAAATAATCTAAGGGGAGGAACCTGGGGACGTATCCTATCCTTCCCCTAAGGGGACGCATCCTCCGCCGCTGATTCTATTCTCAGCTTGGAGAGGCAGGGCTGCGAGATAGCACCCGCCATTAAACGCGCGTTGTAGCCACTCTCTTCTGTAGAGACACTTTCCTCGGAAGGGTCGCGCTGCCTGGAGTCTAGAAACGCAGACTATGGCTGGTCCTAACTAACCCAGTCTCCCCCAAGCTGAGGATAGGATCAGCGGCGGTGGACGCGTCCCCTGAGGAAAGGATAGGATACGGTATCAAGACGAACCTTAGCGCAGGCAGTACTTACCAAGTTCACGCATAAAATGTAAAAATGAAAAATATCCATGGCTCAGTTGTAGAAGCTGAGAGCATCAACCCCAAGTTGAACAGAGAATATATCAAAGATATACCTTGAAAATAGGGTCCAACACGAACTGATTGAATCCTCTCTTCGCGCCTTCGCTCTGCTGTGAACTCCATTTCTTTGTCTTGAGGTCGAAGAATCGATCACCCCAAAGGTTCTTCATCAGTTTGTCAACCTAAGAAACGTCGTATTTCATCACGTCCACAAACCGAGTAGAAATTTTTTTACCTGGACTCCGAATTTGTCGGCGTACATCTCGGCAAACTGCTTCAGCGTGAAGGCCCAACCGTGGAGACCAGAACCAAAACCGACATTACCTACTGAAGGATCTACCATGATGGCTCCCATTGGACCGTCATCATCTCCGTATGTTGCGATAATAACGTTGATGTTTTCAACAATGCGCTGGAACGTCTGGAACAGTTCTTCGGCTCCCAGCTGCAGCTCGAGAAGGGCACGGTCCATTTTATTCATGAACAAAATGGGCTTAATACGTTCAGCTATGGCCTGACGAAGCACAGTCTCAGTTTGGACGCACACTCCTAAAAAACGGTTTCGCAATCGATACAGTGACAATTGCACACACGGTGATTCGGTATAGTAAAGTACCAGATACGCAGTCCACGACGACGAGAGCTCCATCAGTGACACGAAGGGCAGCAGTTACTTCAGAAGAGAAGTCAACGTGACCAGGAGAATCGATCAAATTGATCAGGAAACCATTGAACTTTTCCTTCTTTCCGTCCACCTCCGTGACTTCAACTTGCTGCTCTCCCTTGATAAACTCAATGTCCTTCCTCTCGAGTTCAAAGAACATAGAAATGGCACTAAAGAAAAGAAAAAGTAATTCTATAAAAAAAACTGAGAATGAAGAAAAAACACCGAAGAAAACTGACGTGGATTTAATTGTAATACATCTCTCCTGCTCATCTTTACGGGTGTCAGTGAAACGAGTCTCTCCGGCTTTCGCTCCGGCTATAATACCAGCCTTTGAGACAAGTGAGTCAGTAAGGGTAGATTTTCCGTGGTCGACGTGGGCGATGACGGACATGTTACGAATATTTTTTTTGCGATCCATAAGTGCACGGATCTCTTCGATAGTGAAGTTCACCTTGAAAAAGAAAAAAACATGCTTATAAAACTATTTCGCAATTTTCCCAAAAAACTTCAGCTTATGCTTTATCATTCCTTGAAGAAACAACTACCATCAATTGTAAAATCCAAGACTCACCATTTTTGAAGATGTCGGTGTTGCTCACGGCAACTTCCTTGACGAAATCAACGAGGCTCACAACCGCACAAGCGAGGCGGCGATCAAGTAGTGAGGCTGCAGTGGAATGCAATTCTTGTCGCGACGAACTGCATCGCTTCAGCGTGGCGATACGCAGCGATTACGGTCGCGCGCCGAATTCAAAGTGCTTGGCTCGTGGCCAAGTCGCCCTTGATCGCTCAATTGCACAACATTGTGATGGTGTTTTGTTCTGCCACGGTTATAAGCTCTGTTTCCGTTTCATTGTGTAAATAGGTCTGTTAGGAAATGCCGTAGCGTCGTAGCACTAAGGCCCAGATTCCTTATCTGTGCGGCTGAAAAGGGCAAATAATGAGTATCCGCTGTAGCCAAACGAGCACCGTGTAGGGTAATGGGGCAAGTTTACCGCACACGTCTGTTTACAGCCGTTCTTTATCTTTATCTCTTATTATGTTTAACCGTTTAACTATTAGGTTGGCACGATTGAAATGTCGTTTTCGATCATCAATTATTTTCATTATAAAAACAATAATGAAGCACATCAACCTGAACATCTTCCTTCACCTGTGTCACAGGTTCATCACCTTTTGTTACGCAGAAGCATGGATGCCTACCGCGTAGAACTCTTTCTGGTTCGACTCGAAGAAGTTGGGCACTCAAATTTTGACGTCGTCGCGGTTATCGAATTGGTTTGCTGCTAAGGAGTGTTGCGCTTAGGCTGGTGTCAGAGTCCGCGATCCGTCGCAGGTTTCGCTGATTTTCGCGATTTGCGCGATTCACGCGATTCACGCGACGGATCGCAAAAATTGCAAGTGTGTGAACATTTGAAACACTGAATATGAAACAAGTGGAATCATTATGAGCGTAACTGCGACGGATCGCGGACTCTGACACCAGCCTGACCTGGGTCAGTGATAGTCGGACGGCGCCAGACCTGGGCTATATGGCGCGAGAGGCAGAGCGTCCCAGCCCAACTCCTCGATTTCTTGTTGCAAGATTTTCGCGACATGTGGTCTTGCATTATCGTGCCATAATTTTTCATTTGCCGAATTTACCCTTTGACGACGCGGAGCTCGGCCCACGTGGTGGAGCTGTTATACGCAGAGTTCAGCTGTAACTGTATAACCTACAATCAGCATGTTCCCATGGTACAAGTGCTAATACTGAGATGTCGACAAATGAAAGCGTGACTTTGTTTCCGTGGATGTCTGGTTTCGAAGTCACCCTCTGCTGTCCATCAGCCACCAACCACGGTCGTCTTCCCGCGTTATTGGGAAACATCTCTTTGTAAAATGCGGTCAGCACGAAGTGGAGAACCTTTTTCCTCTTGAAGTTATGAAGCGAAGTTCAACCAAGAGGCAAACCAGTTCTGCTTGCTCGCGTCGCTCAGAATAGGCCAAACCCATTTTCTATCCTGAAAGGCCTTAACAGTCGCACGTAGGAACTTTTAAATTTTTCTGTTGACACAACTGAATCTCCATGCAAGTTTTGTGCGGTATTCGAGGACTCAATTCGTTGGCTTTCTTTTCTCCGTCATCTAGAGCTAGAGGTCAAAATCCACGATCTTCGTCCCTCCTTTACCTCAGTCTTGGAAGAGCTGAAACCATAGCTGAAAGTGCATCAGAGACTAAGTGTTACTGCTCAATGTTTTGCACACAATGAGTGAGATTCGTTGGCCTTTTTTCCTTGCTTGAATATATACGCTCAGACGATGATTTCTGATCAGTCATCTTCGAGCAAAAGTTTTGGCTCAAGGAAGTCTCGTGGTGTCATCGGGTGGTGCCTAAGGCTGATATCAAGAGTCCGCGATGCGCGTCCAGGTTTCGGCTGATTTTCGCGCATTTGCGCGATTCACGCGATTTGCGCGATTCACGCGATTCACGCGACGGGTCACGGAAATCACAAGTGCCCGATCAATACTGCAAGGTGTTCTCCAATCCTGCCGCCACTTCTGCTTGATAGTGATGGCTGAATGACGACTGCTCATGATTCCACTTGTTTCATTCCACTTGTTTCATATTCAGTGTTTCAAATGTTCACACACTTGCAATTTTTGCGATCCGTCGCGCAATCGCGCAAATCGCGAAAATCAGCGAAACATGCGACGGATCGCGGACTCTGACACCAGCCTAAGATTTCGCAGTCCTGTGGGCAAGCTATGCTCTACCTAACAAAGTGGTCGGAGCAATTTTTAATAGAAATTCACCTTTTATTGAGAGTTAATGCTCCACAAATTCATAAAATCACATTGATCACTAACTTTTTGGAAGTTAAAGCACAGTTGTTGTTAAAGTGTATTTATCTTACATATAGTACTGTATAAAGTGCGGGGAACTTGTCTGGCGGTATTTCCGGTACGGCCACAGTTATCGCTATGAGTATGTCACCGGGACAGGTAAATGTAGATTTGGACAGTTCCTCTTTTCTCACATTTTAATTGTTCAATAAATCGAAAGAAAACTTAAACTTGATTGTGTATCCGGTTCTCTATGATATCGCTCGAAACAAGACTTGTTTAAGACACCGCGACAGAATTTACAACATACGTTGTTCTGTTCATGATCAGGTGCACTCTCTACATTGGAATTATTGTCAATTAGGTGAATTAGGGATTTGATTAGACTACTTTCAGTTACTTCCTTATTTTGCGCATATTGTTAGCCTCAGTTTTGGACAAAATGATGGCAGTTGTCGGGAGGAGCAGGTGTTAGCTCATTCAGCACTTTCCCAAGAACATGGCGGTAGGGTAGGAGTAGATAGCATGAAGCATCATCTGGGCGAGTTTACTAGAAAGTGCCCTGGTTCCAGAAAAAGCAACGGTATGCTAGTAGGAGATACCGGTTAATGGTTTCTGTCTCTGTAACGACCTATAGTACTTCCCTCACGCCCTTTCTACGTAAAAGGAATGACTCGTTTCTGGCTCTCCTGATTTACTAGCGACGAAAAATGGACTCTCCGTAATGATTGGCCGCGTTCTGTTCAGTGATCAGACCCCATCGAGAAACATCACACTGTAGTTTGGCTGTCTTTCACAGAATGATTTCCCAGTATTTCTGGAACCGGTTATATCTATTGCAACGCCAGTGTCAGTCAAGCATATGGACTAGATGTGCCAGAAGGGGCAAGGTCTGGGGTCAATAGAAGAAGACCAATTTTTCCTTGATTGCATACGGCCACATGTGCGCGAACACCACTGCAAATTTCGTGCAATATCGACTACAAAACCTTCTCTCACCTATTGATGAAAGCGTCTCTCGCCCACCGATTTCACTTTTTTGATCATCTTGAGAGCTTCACGAACTGAGAATAACGCTTTAAAACCAAAGCTGATATCAGGCTGTGGGTCCAGGAATCGCTAGCGAAACAAACAGCGGCGCTTAACTTTGAGGACGAGTTTTAGTTTTTTCTATCACCTCTTGAAATTTTGTGCTTGATCTCGGAAAAGAAATCAGCTTGAATTTTGTTGACAAAAATGTGAGTCTCCGTTTTTCTTGGAGTTTTCAAAGCCTTTATAGAAGAGCTTATTTCTTTACATTAGGGAGCGAGCCAGTGTCGTGCGCGAGACTGGATACTTTCACAGAGATAGAGGGTGTTGAAAAATTGAATTGCAAGCCTTTGGCATGTGTATTTGATTATTATTATTTGGCATGTATTATTTATCTCAACCTTAGGTGATTGTACTCATTGTGAGGTCCTGTTTGTTTAACGCTCCTTATGGCTCTGGTACTAAATATTGTATGCCGGAGATTTATTCTGTAATATCATAACCGCAGTTCTGATTCAACTGTATGTTTTGCAGATGGAGGTCGACACTGCCACTGATGATTCTGCTTCTCAAGCATCGAACACATCGGCCTCCTCCATGGCCATACAATATTCTGTTGATGAGCTACAAGAAAATGGTACAGCGTTGATTTCTGATCCAAATGCTGAAGCTGTGAGGAATGAGGGAAAGATGAGGAGGCTCAACAGGCGTCTGGCTCTCGCCAACCTGCAGCTTCCAAAACTAACCGCCTCGCTGGACAGTGTGATTGACCTTCGCACAGAGGAGGTGAGAATGCTGACTCTACCAGTTTTTGACTGCTCTGGCATACTCATTTTTTCCAGGATAAATTGGGAAATATGTCGTGGTTCAAGAAGAAGTTCCCATCTGTCAAGACAGATGTAGCAAAGACGGAAAACACGTGGGGTTGAGCTATACATAATAAAAGGCAGTTGACGATAGTTCGCAGTAGCTTACAGTTTATGTTTCAGAGCTGTGCATCTACCAGCTAACGTTCCACCTAGCAGTGAGTTCCATGTGCTTCTTATACTTATTTGCGAGGCATTCAGTTTCAAGGGCAGAAATTTTATATTTCAGTAGCTAAGCAAAAATGCCTCAAGCAGTCTCTCGAAAAGAAGTTAGCTGAGAGAAGAAGGATCGGGCTTGCAAAACGCAAGGAATTGTATATGGAGGACAACGAGGGGCTTATTGAAGACGAGGAGGAAGAGGAAATTGATGATGGCAACGATGCACAGTCGTCACAGAAAAAGAAGTGAGTTTTTTTCTGGAATTTTTGCTTTTTAGCATTAAGTGTTAATTCGAAATATGTCTCTTCAAACATCTCTTCCCAGGAAGGAAGAAGAACCAGAGGACAGCGATGATGACTACAGTGCTGATGACGAGGAAGAAGGAAAGGAAACTGACACAGAAAGCTCACAAAACAGTGAAATGGTTGATGAAGATGAAGAACAAAAGGTAACATATAGTTGACCATCAATTACGCATTTCCATCGAAGTTTGCGAAGTTTTCCACTGTATAGAAAAGCGGGGCCGTCGACGACTTGCCGGAATCGGTTGACTTATTCGATGGTGTATCTGTGGCAGGTAGCACTGTGAAGGACAGCCAGAGGCTCCACGATGTATGGGTGTGCTCGTTCGCTTTTTCTTTTACTCGTTTCTTTGTACCGATGAGAAGTACCATCGGACACTTTCAAGGGAAGGCAGTAAGTTAAGGAAGGTTCTCGTTAAGGGCGGAAAGGGCAAGCGTACATGGTTGCGATGGCGTGAAGGGACACAGTGATTTTAATGTGGGTATTTAATGACTTGCTATGAAATGAGCGACCCATGGCAGGCCCGTTCAGTCGATCTTTTACTGTAAGCCGCGGATGGATCTTCCCCAAAGTTGGTGAAACAGGGCCTCAGAAACTAGCTGTGAATCGTCCAAAATCACCGGGCAGGATAATGATCCCGTTTCTCTTTTTCCCCCGGCTTGTTCTAGTTTCTTCTTTACTGCCGCACATAGCTTCACCTCTGGTTTCATATTTGATTGAAAACGATTTGTTGGAATTGTCGTCTTCAATCAGTACACGACATATTTGCGAGAAGGAATTGATTGACTGATTACTCTTCGAAAATTCACTTATACGCCTCGGAATGTCACGCGTTATTTGGTACAAGGATAGTGTTTGCGCTCGCATACATAAAGCCACTATACTTGATCCTTCTTTCTCACCTATATGGTCATTGTCTGTATGGGTTCCGTCGATGCGACATCGTTTCTGCTTGCTGTGATCTGCATAAAAAAGAAGGCAACTTCAGAAGGCACATCATGACACTATAATCAGTCACCATTTTACAAAAATGGCGGGATAGATTCTTCCATTCTTCCATTGGCTTGATCTGATTCTATCACAATTTTGTCTTTTGTGAGCAACATTTTTATCAATTGAAATACAACCTTTTGACTCTTTTAAGAGTCTAAACCTGATGTTGGAGGAAGACGGAGAAACCGAATCTACAGCTGGAATGACTCAACCACAGTTTCCTAACTCACTTTCACAGTGGTTTGGTGAAAAGTACGTAGTTGCTTGTTTGCGTTCTGCAAAGATTTCAAAAGCATTCGGTTCTTTTTTAGGGCCGCAGGTGAAAGTTCTGATGACGCGCATCCAAATGTACCTACTCCAGGTCTGTCTATTT